CCCCCCGAGGCATTAGCAGGATGAGCTAATGCAAGAGGATTGGCAACATGCATCTAGGGAGGGATAGAACCACATCAGTACTGACTTCGGCTGATGTAATTTCTGGGATTGGGTCTTTACAGTGTATTTGGAAGAGGATGCAGAGGGACGATACAACACCTCATTCTTTCTGTCTTCCTCCATCGCCACTCCAAGTTTCAAACATCCAGTGCCATCCTTCCCTATCTTGTGCCAGCTCTGGTTCTCATCTATCTTTCCTGTCTTAACGTTTTAAAACATAAGGACGCAGTACCCTGAAAAGAGCAGATACTTCTACAGTTTTTGTTCGAAGAAGGAGTCCTGGCTGAGGCATTCTTCAGGAGATAGCAGAGATGAGAGCTGTTAAAGCCATTACATTTATTCAGCTGCACGCAAGACTTGTGAGTCCCATGCAAGACTTGTGAGTCCCATGCTAGGACTGTAATTCAGTCTAAGTAGAATTCCATTAGCTTAAAAGCGATCTGCTCCCCATTGTTTGGCCAGGAGTGCTCTGAATGCATATAAAGTGTTGTTATTAATGGGTTATTAAAGCATTCATTGCCTTTAATTTGAAGAGCCTGGACACAGTAGACTGCAATAATTTGATCTTTATTCTGGGAAATACACTGGAAAACTGCGTATGTGTCTACTGCAAAGTTTGAAGTAGTTTATTGAAACAAGAGTCTGTAATAGCTGTGATAAATTGTTCTCAGCTGTACCATTACAGATGGGAAATACAGCTTCTTTGAATATTACACTGGTCTTACAGTGGGAGCAGTAAGAAGAGGACTCCCATGCTTTGAAAGCAGGAAGATAAGACCTATGTATGAATATAGTTAATGTCCATTTGCCCATGGTGGACTTGATTCTTAGCTGTGGTTGCTGAGATTCCGAGCCTCACTTTTTACAAACCTCTTTCATTCCCAATGTAAGCAACAGCATCCATCATACTCCTTTATATTGCCTGTTGCGGTGCTAAAAGAGATTCAGAGCAGAATTGTACATTGACTACTTTACTTAAATGAATACTATGTTGTAAAAAATACCATCCCATCTGCACTTGCCCCGTCATGTTTGCATTATGGAATGAGAATTTTCAAGTGGCCAGTTGAAGGGATTTTTCTGGTGTTTTTCACCCAGGACGTTCTGAAGTGGTGGGACTCTGCCAGGGTTAAATTTGTAGCAGGGACACAGTTTTACTTAACTGCAGTTGTCTTTGTTAATTTGTTTTAGGTGAGAATAACTGACATAACCTAGAAGGAGGCACATTCATCAAATATGGAAGAGGACACTAAACCTCTCTTAGTTCCTGTGGGCGGCGATGAAAGCAGTTATGGAATCATGAATATACAGTTCAATCCAGAAGATTTTAAGTGCAAAAGGTATGAGCAAGGCTGAATGAATTATTACATAGCAATGAGTTGTTTAACCTTTGCCTTTGGCAACAGAATCCTAGAAAGACAGAAGACTGGTATTTGGAACCCAGGAGCTGAGTACCAACAGTTCCTACTTGGTATGATATTATTTCCAGGCACCAGGTGAACAGATGTTCCTATTGTGTATTGTTTAGAAGGGTAAGACTTTTCTATTGACATCACTTCAGAGAGTGCCTCAATAAGGAATTGGCATGTGGCTTTTAAAGTGCTCTTCAAACACTGAATATCATGTGTGTATGCTGCAGCACGGTGGTTCTTACTTAGCACAACAAGCTGAAATGTTGAGACTATGCAAGAAAGCTTGCCAGATGGTGTAGATAAATGGCTGTGAGTATGTGTAAATGGTTCAGTATGCGTTTTACAGGTGATGCTGGAAAAATAAAGTATTTGTTAGTACTGAGAGAATTGAGTTACCTTTATTGCCTTTAAGAAAAAAAAAAGTATTTATTGAGGTTGAGCAAGTATGAAAAAATTGGCAGCCCAGCCTCCTTGATATGCTGCAAAAATAGTACATATTTACCTAAGTGGTTATTTTGCATGTTTTCTTAGGGTTTATCAGAAGTCAGAGTGCCATACTTCCTCCACTGTTGCAGTTAAGATTTCTGTGAGGTGGTCCTAGAACCAAAACTGAGATCGGAGTGGGAACTAACCTCCTTATGTTTGCTGGAGACACCAGCTCTGGTTTTTTAAATGAAGAAATAGCTCTTGGGCCCTGTTTACGGCCCTTCTTTTTACTTTTCGCATCCAGCATCGTATTTCACGAGAGCATTTTTCCTGAAGGAACTGCAGATGGCACTGTTGTATGTAGAAAAATAAGCTTCTTGGGGCTCCCTTCAGGGGAAAAAAACCCCGAAAAACTGTTCCTCATGATCACCCTTCGCTGCTGTGTCAGCCTGCAGCTTTGGAAAACCATGAGAGCCTACTTACACGTTAGCCAGGGGCTAAACAATTCTCTTTGCGGGCAAAGGAAGGAGAATAAGGGTGTGAGTGAACGCAGCGGGACAGAGCACAGGTGTAGCAGCATACAGAATTTTGTATATAAAGATTAAGAAACTGTACTTTCAGGTGGGAAAAGGAAATGCACAATATGAATTCTTCCTTTGTCTTCTTTGTGGTGAGTCTCTGAGGCCCTCATGGCCCTCCTGGCATAAGACGACTGCTAATTTATATGGCTTTTGGGAACTCCCTGTGTTGGAGGAAGTGCGTCTTGAGTAGCAATGGGTTTCAGGTGGTGTGGTGATGCAGGAGCAACGAGATAAGTTTACACTTTTGTGCGATATTGAAACGCCAAGGTCCACTTTTTCAGAAGTAATGTTAGGTATTGTTTCCTCATTGTGTGTTTTTTTTTTTTTTTTCTTTTGAGTTCTTAAGTTTGGAGACTCAGCTTTGTAAAAAGTCATAGCATGCGGCATTTGGTTCCCTCCCCAAAAGCAGAAGTGTGGAGTTGAATTGTGTTCCCACTTCCACAACCTCCAGCTTTCTCATACCCATCCACTTGGTCGTTATTGCTCCTCCCTTGCGTTCATTCTCCCATTTTCCTACAACCCAGTCTTTTGCTGTCCAAGCATGCAGAAACACAAAGATTAAGGGCATGAGCTCTGGGATTTCAGGAAGGCCTGGAAATCATAATGGGGCCAAACAGGGTTGATCTCTAGCTCTGCATATTAGAAGAGGCAACGGCAGTCTTTAGAAGAAGGAATGGGCAAGAACAGGCCATCAGGGTCTGTGTCAGTCGGGTCAGAACTTCATTAGAGTTTAGGGAGTAGCAGCTCCAGGGAGAAAGGTTTAACATGAACAAAATACCAGCAGTGTGACAATACATGATTTGCTCTGATTAGTTTGTTCCTTTTACAACTTGCTTTTCCGAAACCTGATCAAATGTTGGTGGGGGGTCATTTTGCTTTGACTGAGATAGCTCTTCAGGTGTTTTGTGTGACTGGCTTATAATCACTGTTTGTCTTTCTTAGTGCTATTCTCTTCTTTTGTTTGGCTTGTTTGAGATTTGACAGCATTTACATAGTTATTTGCTTTTCTTAACATCTTGGAGGACTTGGGATTTTTGAAAGGCACGCTTTTCGGTATTTACGTAAGAACAATAAGCTAATTGGTTTTTAGAGTTGTAAATTATGTTGTCTAGTATTCTTTTGCTAATTTGGGGGGAATAAAAGCCACTGTTAATCCTTTAAAGAGGATGTTATTGTCCTTCACAATGACCTGAATTACTCACACATATAGGAGTGTTTTGCCGATTTTGCAGGTCCCTTTAAAAACTGGAATGTCTTTGCTGCAATGGCTTATTGATGATTATTGTATGCAAGAGAGGGAGTTTCTTTTGTTCTTCTGACTGCATTTTAAATCTGTTTGCTGTCAACAGATACTGCCGTTGTCTTCGGGAATACTTGCACCTTCAAAGAAACAAATGATGTTTTGTGTTACCTGTTTTGCATATGAAAGAATTTGGCAGTGCACCCTGCTAAAGGGAGATCAAGCCTTCTCCCTTTTCTCTATTCTTTTTGAAGTTCCGTCGTGTTCTCACACTGTGTAGGAGGGATCAGTAGGTGAAATTAAACAGTTATAAATTAAACAGTGTCTGTAGATGGCAGTCAGAGATGCATTTTTCATGCAAAAGTGGTTGGTTCCTTTTTATTTTCAAAATCCTTTTAACTTGCAAAAGGTAGACCAATGGTCGGGACTAACCTGTGCAAAACTACCGTTTCTGCATTAATTATGCTTTTGCCACTCCTCACCAACATGGTCTGTTTGCTCCATTGCCTGCTTTTCAGTTATCTGTGTTATTAATGTTTGTATTAGTTCCAAATATTACTGCTTCCTAATGGGGAAGAACTAGAACCTTCTTAATTAAGGACCTTCTTACTGTGTAAGAGAAGAGTAGAATAGCTTAGCCTTTGGCACAAAAGAGGGAACAGTGCTTCAAATGTGGTATGGTAAAGCTTATGATTCTTTAATTGTTAAAATGTGTATCTTGCAGGCCACAGAGGTGGCTTATACCCAGTGAAAGGTTGTTTTGGTTCTGCATCCAGCAATTTAAGGTACTCGCGTAGTCATGCTGTAACCATCATAACGACAGTGGTGGTAAGAATGTAGAAAAAGTTTAAGTAAAATATATTGACCAGAGAATAAAGATCTTACGGGATAAATTGTAAGGGTATTGTTTACAATGCTTATATAAATTCAGACAGCTTAGAAAGTAAAAATCATTGGAATTCTTTGGAACAGGTTTCCCAAGAGAAGCTTACTGACAATGTTCCTATCTGGATAGGCAGCTCCCAGTTAAGAAATTACTCAAGCTATGAGTATAGTCGTCCTCTTACTGCTTTTTTCTCTTTAATTTCACTCATGGTAATGAATCAGTTTTTCTCCTTAGTTTCTCCTGTGCCATATACAGCATTCCTGTAATACTTTGATGAGTTAGTAAAACAAAGCCATAGGAACTTACTAGCTTTATTTCTGTGTAATAATCTTATCACATCCCTGATAAGCAACTGATGTGGGATGTCAAAGAAGTCTGTGCAATAAGCTGAAATGGCTCCTTGTGGTCTTTTTGGAAGAAAGAAATTCTTAAGCATCCTGTCAAGGTTTTTCTCATTATTTATTTAAATACGGAAGTTGTCTAATGTGAAGTCATTAATACTATGGTGTAGAGCCAAAACATAACTGACAAAAAAAAGTGTGTTGCACTACTTTTGATCAAAAGTCCAGAACCAGTTACTTCCTGTTTTAAAATATTTCATCTAAGGTACTGGGAAAACAGTATTACTTACTTCATCGCTTCTTGAGATAGGTATTTGCCATACTTCTCTATTGCTCTGCAAGGTGTAACACGTTGCTGAAAATACCCAGAACAAATATGTAGCACCCTTACGGATGCTAGCAGTTGCAAGGTTGTATGTAGTTTGGCAGACAAATTTTCCTGTTGTGCTGTTCCCCCTAAGACTCCAATTCCAACAGTTGAACTTTGCCTATCACAATATTTGGAAGCAACTTTAATCCCAAGCGTGTCTTCTGTTTTCCTTTGCTTGCAAAATTGGTACTCAAGATCATAATATGAGGAAGTTTGGACAAAAACTGGACTAGCACTAGAATTCTTATTAGCTGTCCCTTTGTGTGATGGAGAAACAACTAGTAGATGAATGTAGCTGCAGGTTTCCTGGGAATAGTTTCTGGAGTACATGCGTGGGGTGTAGTGTATGGGAGGCATGGACCTCCTGCATGAGAACCTGCGTCTTGTCAGTGTTCATTGTGCTGTGGGAAACAGCTGTGTTTTACTGGTGTGTTTGCCCTGTTAAAAGGAGCATTGTTTTTCAGTCTGGCTATTGAAATAAAAATTCTAATTGTGTTTTTTAGTATGGTTATAATAAAGTCATTGGACACTATAGTCTATCTCAATGCGTGGAAATTGTCTGCGCTGTTTTGCATTAATAGTCACACCCTCCAGTCATGTAACCCCTCCCTTTCCCCAGATCATATTGTCCCACATCCCCTTCATAATCATTTTGCCACGAGAGACACAACGTGGTTGCCTGTATAAATCAGCAAGTTTTCTAGGAATCTTCTGCAGCTGCTGATGCTTGCGTTTAAAGACTGCTTGTCTGCAAGACTGAAGGTCCCTAAAGAGGGACCTTTATTTATTCCAAAATACATGTGTTTTGGACCTGTATTTATTCCAAAATACATCCCTGATTATAGCCTACCTGCTTTGGGCTTTGAAAATACCGGTCTTTGAGAGCTTCTCAGTCTTCTATCTGAGTATGCCCTACAACCAGTCTTTGATCTGGGTGTAGCCAGGGGCTGGGAAATGGCCTTGATCCTAGGCAGATTGCTACCCTCTGATAGTGGAGATCAGGGAGGAGGGGTTCATCCCAACATGCCTGCATAGCTTCCAGTCAGTCTGGCATTTTACAACCATAAGACTGATGGGTGGACAGTCTATTTTAGCACAGTCACTTGCTTGGTAAAACTAGAGGTGGTGGTACCCTGAGACAAAATTTAATTGGTGCTTCTCAACAATTGCATACCAGAAGGGATCAAGAGGGGAAGTAGCCCAGGTACTGACAGCATTAAACTTGCGCACTTCTCCAGACAGGAAGCAGCCACAACAGACATATAGAATTTCTTTGGTGATGGTTAAATTTTTTTCCTCATCCATAGGTTAGATTCTGGATCATACCTTTCTGTTTCATGCTGGGCCATAAATTGCTTGTTCAATCCAGATTCTATTCGTAGTACTGAAGAAAATGAAATATCTTTTTCTAAGTAATTTCTTACCTGTTTTTGCTACATGTGAAATTTTTTCTTGGTATTTCTTCAGTTGTTGACTAACAGCACTGCTTTCTCCATAAAACAGAATGTTGCATTCATGTTTTCTGTTATATTAATTTTAAAATCATCCATGGCTGTAACCTGAATTACTTGAAAAACTAATCTCCCACTGTCTTCCAGTCTGGAATAATTTTCTTTGACATCCATTTCAGTAGTTGTTGAACACCATTTTGAAGGAAATCTTTGCCACAGATTTCTTTGCTGTTTTGAAGCTAAATGTAGATGATGTCAGTGTAATTTTTCCACAATACCAGTGGAAGTTTATGGGGATATACTAAGAACACTAACTGGAGATGGGAAAAGAGGTAGTCCTCATGAAGGACTTCACACTATGCAGCCTCCATATAACTAGCAAAACACATAGAGTTCTAGATAAAACGTGTGTCAGTGATCCAAAAAGAAAATAGCAGAGAGCTGACTGGGTGTGTGGGGGTATTTAAACATTAAATTTCCTGTTTTCATAACTACAGCCTATATTTTACAGGTCTTCTAATGAAATATTTTGTAGCAGTGTCCAATGATTTGATCAGACCAATAAATTTTAAGCCAAAACAAGTGAAGTCCTTTAGAGCTAATAGACCATGAGTATTTTTGTACGTAGAGTACTTATGGAAGCAGTTAGCCCTGTGTGCCTCTGACTAGAGCAATAAAGCTATTGCTTAGAGTTTATTCCTTTTTCATTGTGGTATCTCTCTTAATTGTTTCTAAGAACATCACAGAAGTCCACACACTAAACATGTGTTTCCACCTTCATGTCATAGACATGGGAATAAAGCAGTCACTTGAGAATGTTTTAAAAATTTAAAGTCACTCTCATTTTATTAATTGGGAAACAGCTTAGCAAATCTAAGCCATTTTTACCATGATGATGGAAGATGTAAGAATTAATGAAATCTGAGATGAAGGCAAGAAAGAATTTGTGGAGAAGGAAGTTATTTTTCTCTGCTTTCCTCTTCTGACAGTCAGTTTTTATTAGTCCCATAAATACTCTCACCTGCTGTGTCCTCAGGAATAACCACCTACCTTCATCTCTTCCAAAGATACAGCCACCAGCTTCAGAGCTGTATTCATCTTCTTCCTTCTAGATAAAAGGTGGTGCCAAGGTGCAAATGCTTAATGATTCACTGGGAAAGAGAATGGGACCTTTGTCACAGTATTGAGATCTGGGGCAGGAGGGGTTGACCAAGTTCCTGTGTAGTCTGAGCCAGCAATGGGTGTTGAAAAAAACAGTCAGTTCGAATGGGCTTTGCTCATATTACAGGAAAAATGGCATGGATTTATTGCTGACCTAATGTTTCTTCTTGGTAGTATGAAACCTGTTGTGATCTGCACTTTTATGGGTTCTGGTTTTGGGGTGGTTCCTGATTTTGAGTGATTTAAACTCAAAACTTTAAACTTCCATCAGCATGGAAGATGGTCAGAAGGCTGTTCGAGATTTCTTTAGAAAGTAAAAGCATTGGTGAACAGGAAGAAATACCAAAGCCCTGTATCAAGTTTTGCAGTTCGCTGGTATCCCCTTTCTTGTTGGGGAAATGAGCCTGTCAGTGCTGGGAGAGAATGTCGCATTTAGGCAATAGTACAGTAGGTCTATATGGAGGTAAATCATACATGATTTAAAAAAAAAAATCTCTGTGATGTCTTGATTAGGCCACATATCTCTGGTAGCATCCCTTGCATGAAGCTAGGTTTGTGTTGTGTTGTAGCTTTCGCTCTGCTTGCTCTGAACCTACATGTGCGCGGAGAAAACAGCGGTGTGTGGTGCGGCTGCTTTCTCCTTCAGTGGCTGTGACAGTGCCTGCAGGCTAACTCAGCTGAGGAAGAGCGAAGGGAGACCATCCCTAGTCTGTACATCTCTCTATGAGACGCGTAGGACTTTGGCTGCTGACAGTCCTTTCTCCATGATTGCCCTAAGTAAATTGAATGGAAATCATGAAGTGGTTCAGAACTGCAAACAGACATCTCTTGTTCCATGTTCTGTGACAAATTCCGTTCCCTGTTGCATTGGCTTAATATTATGAGCACATTGACTTATTTGGACTTGGTTCCTTCCTCATTAAACACAACTTCATACTGTGTTTTTGGCTAAATTAGTAGTTCCTAGCCCTCTCATAGTTGGTCCTCATCACCACTGCTCATTCCTCTCTTTGTCTTCTTTCTGATTCTGCATTCTCACACTTTCTGTTTCCACCTCTGTTCCTCATCACTAGTCCTGGCAACACCGGTTATAAGCACTAATAAGCTTGGCCAAGCCTATTAACATGTAGTTCTCGTGTGATTCATTGTTGAGGACTAATAGACTAGATATTAGGTCTGAATTTTGATGTTAGGTTGCCCCACAGAATCTGGGCAAGAAGCCATTCTAATATGATATGCACACATGGTTCTTTCATGGATGGCAGCTTCCCTCATGGCAGTAATGTTTTTGCATTCGCTTTGTGTCAGTGGATGACAGACTTATCCTGATGCTCAGCTGTTTCCTGATTTGTGTGTTCTAGGGTTTTAAAAGTTTTCTTTTTCTTTTGTTTCCCCTCGTTTAGACCATTTCATGTGGAGCCTACAAACATAGTCAGTGTGAACGACGACATGCAAAGAGTCACAGATGAAGCTTCAGCAATGAATAAGCGGATTCATTACTATAGCAGGCTCACGTCTCCTGCAGACAGGGCACTGGTAAGGCAAAGACGGGCCAGATTAACTGAGTAGTCTCCTGCATGTTGGGTCTTCCACAGCCTAGGTTTGTAAAAGAATCACACTTAAAGGTAGGGGGAGAATTGCTCTAGAGTTTGCTCTGAAGTAAATATCTAGCAGCCGAGTGCCTTAACAATGTCTTGTGTTATCACAAGTTGTGACTGACTTCTTGTGCAATGCCTTCACCACACGCAGAAAACATACAAGCAACTTGAATTTTATAACCGCGGTCCAGGCTGCCCAGATGTGTGTACACACTTCTCCCATCTGTAAGGGGATTTAAGCAGTGGTCAGCTGCAGTGATTGAACTAGCATAATCTGTACATAGTATGTTACGGATATTTTGCAGAAGAAAAATATGTTTTTCTGCTAACTAGCTAAAAATCCTATCAATTTTGGGTTTTTCCTGGGGAGAAAATTAATGCAGTCCAACTTTTTTTTTTAATGCACTTTTTAAGGAAAGCTTTTTGTGATTTACAGCAGTTGGCTTGCTGTATTTGGGATAATAGTTATTTTGATATTATTAGTAAGTCTTATTTTTTTATGTTTGTTAGATTGCTCCTGATCATGTACTTCCAGCTCCTGATGAAATCTACGTGTACAGTCCATTAGGAACTGCATTTAAAGTTGAAAGTTGCACAGATGGCTATGGTAAAAACTCCAGTATAGTGACAATGTATGTTAAGCACCTTGCCATATATTAGCCAGAAAATGTATTATTATCGAATGTTCTATTTTGTATGCATAACCATTGTAGCTAAGATAGTTATGAAGTAAGAGTGCTTCTTAAGTTATTCACTGGCTTTTTTCTTTTCTTCCTAGATTTATGATATGGAATACAATGATGGGTACATCTATATTAAGTATCCCGTGGGGAATAAAACAGGTAAAACTATGAAAAATGTATGCATATGAAAATGTTTTTGCAACATGGCTTGCTCTTCATTTTTCTGTACTGTTATTGATAGATAAACGGTATTTCTTCCTCTTTAACAGGCAGGCTTTACTTCTGGAATCATTCTCATCTTACTGATGGGCATTTTGACTCTTTATTGCTGCTACAGAGTTGTGAAATCACGCAAAATGATACGTAAGGAATACAAAGCTTCATAACACAAATATTTCCATTAAGTGTGAAACCAAGCGTTTGGGGACTGACTCTGCAAAGTTAGAGGCTTCCCTTCTTCTCTATAAGCACTGTCCAGTTCTCTGCATGTGTTTCTGATCATGCTCCACAGTGGAACAATGTGGGCTGTAGCTGCATCCACTTGCGTTATATGCCTGCACTATCCTAATATTTGTATTTATTCTGTGTTGGAGGAAATTTATAGACAATTGTGTCACTGACTCTGGTTATACTTAGAATGTGTTTTTGTTATTCAAAGCTCATCTTGCAGGTGTTGTAGTTGGTGGTTTTATGCATAAATTAACCCCTCAGTTTCTCAAATAAAGGCAGTTGAGACCTTCAATTTGTGACAGCTCATTTCAGGGCATTATTGAGGACAAGTTCATGTCCTGGCCTACTTTGCCATAACTCCTGCAAAAGGCATTATCTACAAATGCACAGCTGCATTTTTGCTACTGTGTCTGAAAGTACTCGAAGTAGTACTATGACCACAGTAAGAGCCTCTACTTTTCCAGGCTCCTTCAGTGAAACACCTAATGAATGTCATATTTTAAAGTTAACAGCGATCTTCTTAGCCCTCGGAACCACTGTGAATTTGTGTCAGAATATTCTGAAACAAGAACGAATTATGTTATGGAGAGTTCTACTGACTCTAATATGTTTTGTTTACCTATGTTCCTGGTTTTGTATCTTCTTCAGCTTTAATAGATACCTCAAACTGGGAATTCCCAGATGTTTGCAAGTATTACTTTGGATCCTTTGGTCAATGGTCAAGCCTCTTATTTTCTATGGTATCGCTTGTTGGAGCCATGGTTGTTTATTGGGTGCTTATGTCCAACTTTCTGTTCAACACAGGAAAGTTTATATACAGTAAGTATACATTTTTTGTTAACTTTTACAGTGATCTTGTGGAAAGATCAAGACTTTGCTTTATACTGAAAAAGGATTATCCATTTTACTTATTTTTTCTGTTACTGTGTGTGAAGAGTAAAGTGAGACTAAGTAACTGTGTGGAGTTACAGGCACAGCTGTGTGTGTTTTCAAAGCCAGTTTCTCCATCTCTCAAAGTGTGGTTTTAATGAAAGACAGAGTACGAACTATCTGGTTTGCAGGTCAGTAATGAGGCTTCTTGGTGTAGTTTAAACAACCTGAACCTGGTTGCTTGTTTCCACTTGGTATTTTCACTCCCCTCTTGTTTGCATAGGTGTAGCTATTTGGACGGCCATATAACACGCTAGGCTGTTGAAATTATCCAGGTTAATTAAAAAGTCTAGTTTCATTCTAGATTTCAACAAGCACACTTAGAGTGCTGCCACAATGAAGATTTTTACAAGCATACCTGAAGGAACAATGAAATGTAGCACAGTGAAAAAACGATTCTTATTCTGGCATAGCTACAAAAGAAAATCTGTTGGTTATTTACACCCTTGTACGTGCACAGACACACAAGCTTTTGTGAATACAATCAATTAGGTATGTAGAGTTGTGGGAATAAATGATGGAATAGAGGGCTTTGAAAATCTTGACTCATAGCATTGAATAGCACAACTAAGATTTAAGAGTTTCTGTTTTGAAGGTAATTAACAAATCTCTGAGGCAAATAACAGCACAGACACTTATACTTCTCAAACAATGTTTAATTAGGGTTCCTGCCATCTCTGAAGGACGTACTTTACTTTATTGGTTAATGACTGGTGTATTTTAGAGCTGACCTAATTCATATGTTGTTAAGGTCATTTAATTTTAGACTTTAGTTGGTTTGTTTTTGTTTTGGTTTTTTTTTAGTAAGGTTAGGACTTTAATCCTAAATTATTCTAAACCAAGTAACTCCAATTCTAATAAGCAAACTTGAGAATGATCAAAATAGTTCCTTTTCTGAGGAAAAAAAGCCCTTTTCCCGGAAGTTGGCATGTTACTTTATCACTTACCTGTATTTGTTCGGGGTTCTGGTTGAAGTTGTTTGTTCTGTGATAACATTAGTCACTGGATTCTTGCCCTAACTTTCATTGTGGGTACTTAATTACTAAGTTGTAAAAGGGGTAATAGGTTGTATGTTTGACACAATGTCATCTTCCAGCCATGCATTTCTCAGTTACTCTAAGCAGGCTAGTATATTCAATTCTGGTACATTCTGATGACTTCTTTTAAAATCTGCACACACAATTTAGGTGGGAACAAATTAATTTCCTAAGGGAGAATTACTACCAGATATTAGTAGTACACAAAGAATGCAGGAACTGTAAGCCAAGTGTAATAGCCTGTCTGTTTTTTTAACATGTTATCCCATGCTTTTGTTCTGGTTTTGTTTCATGGAACAGAAGTAAATTCACAAATGAGATTGCTGTTGCTAAAACACCTCTTTTAAGTATAGAGGAAACTGAGTTGGCTACCCATCTGTAACCAAAGAGCTATCAGTTCTTTTGATGGCATCGTATCAGGTACTATTTTTCAAGTAGCAACACCAAACAGTGGTGTAGTGAAGAGGTGATGAGTGATTTCAGTTAAATTTTCTGATTGTTTTATACGTTGAACTGGTATCAGTCAGTATGAGAAACTCAGTTGTGACTCAGGGTGTCATAAATCAAAACAAAGAAACAAAAACCAGTTTTCTTACCACAAGACTTTTTGCTTTCTGTATGAGGAACAAGCTACTGTTAATTACATTTAAAAAATCTGAGACTTGCTGCACCAGTTGATTTTTTTGCTTGCATAATACACCCACATGTAGCAGAAGTAAATTTTGTCCAGAGACGCACTAATTAAATTTCCAAGCTGATAGGCATTTTCTGTGTGTCTATATACATAAATATAAGGAATTTGCTATGCAGTACTCTCATACTGGTGGAATTGCAGAAACTCAGAAATACCTGGTGTGGCAGAGCAGTAGACAGTAGTGCACTGGAAACAAAACACTACTAGGGATGACCGTAGACAGTGAGACTTAAACCTTTTCCCAGAGGTTCCTTTCTTTAAAATACAACATGGAAGAAGCATCGCGCAGAGCCTTTTCTAAAAAAAATTAGAAGAGCGAGTAGGGGAAGCTTTTTCCTTATAATGCTGTCTTGACTAAGGATATGGATGCATGCATGGTTTTTTTCTGTCCCAGAAGGTTAGTTTTAAGATGCATCTCCTCACCAACACTGTACAACGCTGCAGACCCAGGAGGTGCGACAAGCAGCGGTGTGCTGGGTGAACAATGAACATCTGGGAAGGAAGGCTTGGGAGCTTCCTAAATGGACAGAGCTGCTGGGAAGAAAGTAGTGCAGTGGGGGACTATTTTAAAACACTTCCAGAAGAAAGTTTTAACGTAATGGCTTGGGGTTGGGAGGAGAGTGCAAGCTGCTGTATCGCACCTCTGATGTACTTTTCCAAAATATTTCCTTACTTAATTTTTATCAAGTCAACTGATAAAAGCCTAATAGCAGGTTTGAAACATTGATAGTAAGATTTTCTTCTTTTCAGACTTTGTTCATGACATTAATGTAACAGATATTGTTCCTGGCACAAATGGAAGTAACAAAGGTAAGAAGCACTTATTAGTATTGTGTTTCCTGGTTTGGGGTGGGGGGTTTAAAGGCAAATGTTTCCATGCCAAACCACATTCCAGTTATAAAGTGTGTATTATAAGTTCTAACTACCTGTTTTAAAAAATATATATATATTTTTCTGTATGGGATTTGTACTTCCACAAATAACCACACACTGGAAAGCTTAACAATACCAAGGGTGCGGGGGAACACAACGATGACAAGGGTGGTGGGAGAGAAACAAATTGGGGGTAGGAATAAGGTTTAAAAGACAAATTACAAGTTTGTGTATACCCAGATAAATCCTCTTTCAAACCATGAATGTTAGACCACTCAGTAGTTGCACAATGAGAAATTGCCTTAAGGAATTTTAGCTTTCACACCCTAAAACTGAGGCACATCAGATCTGTTTACTATTTAAAATCTTGGCTGGAGCATCTTTGCTCCTCACCACCTCTGCAGCAACATTCTTATTTTTAAAAAATGCTGTAAAAACAGCTTTAATGATGCTGGACACAAAAAGAAACAATTGTCAGTCTGCTTTGGTTTTGTGAGTAGTCTGACGTTGGCACAACTAAGGGAAGAAACGGCAGTCAGGTATGAAGATGGGTCTGTTGAGACTTCTGAAGTAGGCAGAATAAGGTAGAATGAAGGCAGGAGCTAGACATTGTCAGCTCCTGATCTTTCTGCCTGTGTGTAGCAATGGAACATGTAGTGTTTTGTTATGAAGCAGAAAATTTTCTCTTATCCTGGGTGCTTATGGGAATGGGGAAACATTTAAGGACCAGCCAGACAGCTGTGTGTCACACTAGCTGCAGCCGTGTTTCTGGAGAGCAGCTGTTGGAGTCAGGCAAAGGAGTTGAGAAATAATTCTGAAAAAGAGTTGATTTGCATTTGAGCTGATGTTGAATCCAGTTTCCCCTAAAGTCCTTACCAGAAAGGCACCAATAGCTGCTGTAGTCTCTCCTCCTTCTGCTGTTCTGTCCCATTCTTATGCAGCAGGGGGTATAACTTGGAGACAAGAGTAGACAACAATATTCCACAGCATCCTCCAGCAACTGGAAGATTTAAAGCAGCTGCTTCACAAAACTAAGGGATGCCAGATGCTTGAATGACTCTTGGCAGGGCATTCAGGGCTACCAAGGAGATCAGTGGGAACAAAAGCATTTTTCAAGGTCTGTGAAACAGTCGGCTTATAAGCGACGGAGAAAAAGCAAATGAGAAAACTGGAAGTAAAGTAACGTAATGGTCTCTCAAGAAATTTGACAGAACAGTTTTTACACCTTTGCTTTGTAACAGAACAGGCATGGAGCCAGTGTGGCTATCAAGGATTGTGAGATGCCAAAATTTAAAATAAGACATTATGAGAAAAATAAGATGGGCTCATATTTCAACACATAACTTCGTAGGCCTGTGTTAAAAAGAAATGGTGTTATTAACAAAGCTCATATAAACACGTTTTTATCAAGGGATCTTTTTGTTTGATTAGTTTTGTTCCAGTCACTCATTCAGGTGCTGCCACTGATCAGCCACTCTGTAACAGGAGTGTCACCTTCCCTTTTGGCAGTGTTATGGGTGCATATCTTAAATTACTTCTGTTGTGTTGTCTAGCAGTGATGTACGTGCACCTGGCACAGCACCAAGTTGACAGGGTGTTTGGGTTCCATGCCTGAGAGTTAGACCTGCTAGTTGTTATAGTAGCTTTCTTGTCGTCCTTAGTTTGTGCATTCCTAGAGCAACGAACAGCAATGCAGGCTCTTCTGTACACAGATGCACTTGCATCTTGGATCATACGATCTTACTGAAGTGTGCAGGGACTGATAACAATGCAAAATACGCAGCCAGACACAGAGGTGCATTGCTGTGACTTGATTCCAGCAGGTGCACGTAGGCACTGAACACACCTAGTTATAGGTATTTGACCTTGAAGGCTGTTCCTACACCACCGCGCCAGGCTTCAGACAGATTAGCATCTTGGTTGTACCTGGCTGAAAGAGCTTAGAGTAAAAGGTGCCTAGCAGTGAAATCTTAGCACTGAACTCCTGATAGAATACCAAACAAGTTAAGAACTGGGTTGTCAAACAGTGCTGTTGAGTGGTCCTGTTCCCCATAGGTAAGACGCTCCAGAAATTATGGGGTTTTGGCTGTGAAGATTCTGTGCAAGTAAAACCCTTTTCATCTGAGGATATGTTTCTTTTCCTTTCTTCCAGTCATTTGTCCAAGTGCTGCTAGTGGTCACCCACCACAAAATGAAAGTGTGATGTTCTCTTCCAGTAACAATACAGGTTTTGAACTCTTCGAAAAATGGTGGAACAAATCACAAACAGTACCGTTTTACCTGATTGCTGTTCTTCTACCCCTGCTAAATCTGAAGTCTCCATCCTTCTTCGCAAAGTTTAATGTCCTAGGTAGGTAACAGATACTATTAAAGCATTGGTTCCTCGTGGCTGAAATATGTAGAAAACAATGAAAGCTACTCCAATGAGTACAATCTATGGTAAAATCAGTTAGGTTGATTGATGTATCCAGAGAAGTGTGGCCAGCAGGTCGAGGGAGGCTGCCCCTCTACTCTGCTCTGGTGAGACCCCACCTGGAGTACTGCGTCCAGCTGTGGAGCCCTCAATATCAGAAGGATATTGACCACTTGGAGCGAGTCCAGAGGAGGGCCACGAAGATGATCAGAGGGCTGGAGCACCTCTGCTATGACGAAAGGCTGCGAGAACTGGGCTTGTTCAGCCTGGAGAAGAGGAGGCTCTGAGGAGACCTCATTGCAGCTTTCCAGTATCTGAAGGGGGCCTACAAGGGTACTGGGAGAGGACTTTTTACAAGAGCCTGTAGTGATAGGACAAGGGGTAATGGGTATAAATTGAAATCAGGGAGCTTTAGATTAGATGTCAGGAAGAAATTCTTCCCCGAGAGGGTGGTGAGGCACTGGAACAGGTTGCCCAGAGATGTTGTCGATGCCCCATCCCTGGATGTCTTCAAGGCCAGGCTGGATGTGGCTCTGAGCAACCTGGTCTAGTGGAAGGTGTTCCTGCCCATGGCAGGGGGGTTGGAACTAGATGATCTTTGAGGTCCCTTCCAACCCTAACCATTCTATGATTCTATGATTCTAGGTTGGAAAAAAGATCATGAAGTCCAACTATTAGCCTAGCACAAAGTCTACCACTAAACCCTGTCCCTCAGTGCCACATCTACATGTGTTTTATATGCCTCCAGGGATGGTGACTCAACCACTTCCTTGGGCAGCCTGTTCCAGTGCCTGACAACCCTTTCAGTGAAGAGGTTTTTCCTGATACCCAATCTAAACCTCCCCTGGCAGAACTTGAGGTCATTTCCTCTTGCCCTATTGCTGTTCACCTGGGAGAAGAGACCAACATCCACCTCTCTGCAAACCTGCTTTCAGGTGGTTGTAGAAACCAATACGGTCTCCCCTCAGTCTCCTCCAGACAACCCCAG